CTCCAATGAAGACATACAAATGGCCAATAGGCACATGAGAAAATGCTCAGCATCGCTAATTGTCAGAGAAATGCAGATCAAAACTACAATGAAGTATCACCTGACACCAGCCAGAATGGCCATCATTAAAAAGTCTACAAACAATAGATGCTGAAGAGGGTTTGGAGAAAAGGGAACCCTCCTACACTGCTGGTGGGAGTGTAGATTGGTGCAGCCACTATGAAAGACACTATGGAGGTTGCTTAAAAAACTGAAAATAGACTTGTGATCCAGCAATCCCACTTCGAGTATATATCCAGAGAAAAATAACACTCAAAAAGACACATGCACCCCAATGTTCATAGCAGCACTATTTACAATAGCTAAGACATGGAAACAACCCAAATGTCCATCAACAGATGACTAGATAAAGAAGATGTGGTGTGTGTGTGTGTGTGTGTGTGTGTGTGTGTGTGTGTATGTATGTATATTATATATAGGAATACTACTCAGCCATAAAAAAGAATAAAATAATGCCATTTGCAGCAACTTGAATGGACCTGGAGATTGTCATTCTAATGAAGTGGGCCAGAAAGAGAAAGAGAAAAGCCATACAATGTGATATCACTTATATGTGGAATCTTAAAAAAAAGGGGGGGGCACAAATGAACTACTTATTATTTATAACTTAGATGATTGATTTCTTGAATATGTATAAGCATATTTGACTGTCCTTTAGGATTAGATTACTGCATTCTGTTGATTGTTAGTTTGTGGTTGGCTTTATTCTTTGATAACTATGTTTAAAAAGCTAAAGCTCTAAGCTGTTCTTGGAAACAATGATCAGTACATATGTGTCAACTAAAAAAATTTGAGCAGTATATTGTATACATGTATTTACATGCAACATATCATATATGAGCAGTCAAGTTACAACAATTCTACCTAGTAAAACTGACAAATGAAAAAAATGTATTGTAAAGGCCTAGGTTTTTTCTTTATCTTTATCAACACTAAACTACAGCTTTCTTGCAGCTCATCATGTTTTGTTCATTACTGCATACCCAGCACCTGAGAAGGTGCATGAGATGTGTTTCCTGGTATTCAAAAAAAATATATGTTGACTGACTAAATAGGAAAAAAGTGAATAAACGAAGTAAATAAAATTTTTTTTAAAAAGAAAAATATGTTTGAAAGTCTCAGAAAAAGTTTATTTTCTGATCTTTAAACCAGTAGTTCTCAAGCTTGGGGGTATAGTAACACTTTTAGGAAATAGATTTTGGAGTCTTATACCGAGAGATTCTGCTTGGAGTGAAGAGTGGAGCCTGGACAACTCTTAAGTTTGAAAAGTTTCACACGTGATTGTATCCAGTCATGCTTGAGAACACCTGCGTAAACTGCTAGACCTAGGGACATTCTTTAACAAGGGAGAATTAACTTGGCAACACAAATCACTGATGACATCAAGACTCTTAAAACAGAGGCAAGGTTTCTACATAATTTATGAGAAAAAAATTTTTTTAAAAGGCCAAAAATAATTCATAGGTAATAAATCCTCTGAAGACTATTCAGTGGAACAAATTGAAAAGCCAGGTTCACAACTAGATTTAATTCCAGTTGATTAAGCAAAAATTCAAAAAAAAACCTATTACCTTTTTTTTAACTACACCAAACTGATCAACTCTCCAGTGATATCTTGACTCATTTTATGCCCTTCTTAACTAAAAGCCAATTTCTTTTTTTCCACTGAGTACTTTAAATGTCTTTATTTATTTTTTATATATGCATGTATATTTTTATCGAAAAAATATGGAACACTTCACGAATTTGCCTGTCATCCTTGCGCAGGGGCCATGCTAATCTTCTCTATATCATTCTAATTTTAGTATATGTGCTGCTGAAGCAAGTACTAAAAGCCAATTTCTATTTGAACATTATTGAGAGTTATTCTTGGACCCTTTTCCCAAAGTGTGCAACAGCATCATCTAAACACAGATTCCCTGGTTGGGGGGGAGGGGGCGGGTATAGCTCAGTGGTAGCACACATGCCTAGCATGCAGGAGGTCCTGGGTCCAATCCCCAGTATCCCCATCAAAAAAATAAGTGAAAAAACACAGATTCCCAGGCCACCAATCAAATCCCCCTCTGGCATCTCTCCTGTAACAATTCTGAAGCCAGCACTAGTTAAATTTAAGTCCCAGTTATGCCTCCTGATACAGAACATTTATACATAGGCAAACTCTCAAGCTGTGCAATTATTTTACTAGCCATGATA